AATGTATAATGCATTTCCGAAATTAATGGAGTGTGTAATAATTATGTGCTGTAATTAACTGTAAATATCCATAGTTAATGTGTGTTTAATACTATATAGCACGGCCCTTTGAAAAACAGACTGTATATATTATACTGAATAGGCTATCGTGTTAAAAGAAATTTTATTAAAGATTAAAGATATAAACTTTCAGCAGAGTTTCAACCTTTCTCGCGGTTGGTCAGTGCATGGTAATTACCACGAGGATTTGGGACCAGTGGCGTCATTCTGGCATCAGCAGACGTGAAAATCCGCCATGTTTTTGGCGACACTGTCACATGCCGAGCACTTCCTCCAGATATAATATAGCTCAGTGAGTCTAAAGTTCATCAATGATCGCGGGCGTGACCAACGGTGTTGAGTGGGTGGTCTTTGAGGCAGCGTTTACACTGTACCGTTTTCGTAGCGTTCTCGTATTGTTCGAGAGAACTAGACTATTGTCTTGCGTTCCCTTGAGGATTAAGAACAATACGAGAACGCTACGAAAACGGTACAGTGTAAACGCTGCCTCAGTTTTCCGGTTTTCATCGATTAAGTACGCTGGGCGCTATACGGTATATAAACCACTGCAAAACTGAAGCATTGCAACTCAACTGGTAATCACCCATGCACATATTTAATCAAATTATTTAAATTTTTGATAACATAAACATGATGCTCGTGAGTGTTACTCTGAGTGTATATCCACACCCGGCAAGCTTGAAAAATATGCCTGGTCACGGCGGGAATCGAACCTACGACCTTTGGAATACTAGCCCAATGTTCTGCCAACTGAGCTACGCAGTCCGGCAGGTCGGTTTGAGTATGTGATATTTCGGAACTGAGTCTAGTTCCTTCTATATCGATGTAATCTATAGTAATCATGAATTTTTTTCTGTGTTAATTGGTGTAATGTAGTCAGGTGAATATGATGCTTGTGCATGATGTTACTCTGAGTATCCACACCGGGCAGGCTTAAAAAATATGCCTGGCCACGGTGGGAATCGAACCTATAACCTTTTGAATACTAGCCCAATGCTCTGCCAACTGAGCTACGCGGTCAGGTCCGCATAGCTTAGTTGGCAGAGCACTATTGCATGGCTAGTATTCCAAAGGTTGTAGATTTGATTCTCACCGTGGTCAGGCATATTTTTCAAGCCTGCCCGGTGTGGATATACACTCAGAGTAACATCACAAGCATCATATTCACCTGACTACATTACACCAACACAGAAAAAAATATAAACATACCTTTCGCCGAAAATAACATCAGCCCCTTGGGATGTATCCTCTTTGTAGATGGAAACTGTCGAGTAAAAATTTATATACATTTATTAGACCTAACCAGGAAACAACTTTAGATCCCTGGCAGGAATCGGACCGCTGCGCATGCGGCCCTGCGATTCCACAAACTGAGCTACATGCAAAGGCCAGTTATCGAGCGCTCATAGTCATAGAAGATCTTGTTCGACTGAGTATCCAACACATTCGAGGACCACGGACCGCGGACGGTGGACGGCGGAGCATTTTATAAACACACGATTACTACCGCAACTAATTATAATATACCTTAAATTAAATGATACCAGCTTTAAATCTGTGAAATGAATATGTTTTCACCCGTTCGAATTTTTAGCAATGGAATTTTTTAATTAGCATTTAAATTATGATCCAGTACGTATTTATGATAGGCTATACGCCGTCGTTCACGGAAAACGTTTGGAAATATTGTAAAAAAGCGCCTCAGATTTGGAGCTTCTGTTAGGCAGAATTAAATGACATTCACTTGCTGACATTTTCATAATTTAAATAGTGCTGCTTGTTGTTTTATAATGAAATTAATCCTCGTTTTAATTATAAACCTAAGAGGTTCACATGTAGAAGTGGGCCAAATGGCCGATTTGCATGCGACGACTATTCTACATATATATGGATTTTAGAAATATTATGTAATAGGGGCGGATCATTTGATGGGGTGGATTTTCATTGAGCCCAATAATTTTTTAAACCTCCTAATGCTGCTCGATATTTTTCTGTCATTCAAGGCTCTTGAACGATTGTTTTATTTCGTAGGCACATATAGGTAGTAGGTATTGAGTATAGGCTATGGATCTATTATACATTGTATAGAAACATTGTATCATATATATAATGAGAATTTTTTGTAAAGTTTGGACATGCAAACGTTCACAATTGTATATATTTACAATTGTATATATTTGTCATTTCTTTAACAGTATTGAGTTATTGATATTTTCCTGACATATTTATGTAAATATAATATATTACAATATCTACTATGTTAACGTCACACAGTAATCAGTGTAACAAGCTGTTTGAAAAATGTATATATGTGTGCAGCCTAAATATTGGGTATTATATCATATGTATTTGAAGGCTTAGGGAAGGTTATAATTTCGTTCTACATTTATATACAGTGGAATAGTAATGTGTAAGCACTCACATGAATGGACTTTTGCTACCTGTTCAACATGAGCTCCACCTTTGAATTTACTATATGAGTAAATTCTTAAACACGTCCGAATTTATCATTATGATAAATTCGCGGCACATTTTGAATTTATCAATAGAGTTAATCATAAAACCACAAGCATTACACAAGATTTCTTATTATAAATGTAATGGCATTAAAAGGGACGCCGGCCGCGCGGCGGTGGGAAGTTTCTCAAGTTTTTCAAGTTTTTTAAAAAAATAGTTTTTAAAAAAGTTTTAAAAAGTTTTAAAAGAGTTTTGAAAAGCAAGAAAAGTTTAAAAAGTTATATTTTTAAAAAAGTTAAAAAAATTTATAAAGTTTAAAAAGTTAGGGGTTAGGGGTTAATGGTTAATGGTTATGGGTTAGTGGTTAGGGTTGGGGTTGGAGTTGGGGTTGGGGTTAGGGTTAGTGTTAGGTGCCGCGAATTTATTATTATGATACTCATATAGTAAATTCAAAGGTGGAGCTCATGCTGACGTGATAGCCTTTTAGTAAGTAAAATGGGGATTAATTTCATTATAAAAAAACAAGTCAGCACAATTTAAACTATGAAAACTACAGGAAGTGAATGTCATGTAATACCCCCCCCCCCCCTAATAAAATTTTAATTCAATGACAGTGTTAGTGCAGTTATATATAGAAGCACCAAAACTAAGGCGCTTTTTTGCAATATTTCCAAACGCTTCATGTGAAAGACGGCGAACAGTAGCCTCCTATCATACATATGTACTGAATGCTGATTCAATTAAATTTCATTGCTAAAAATTCAAACAGATGAAAACATATTCATTTCACAGATCTAGGGTTGGTATACTTTAATTTAGGGTATTGTTATTAGTTGCGGTAGTAATCATGTGTTTATAAAATGCTCCGCGGTCCGCCGTCCGGGGTCCGCCGTCCGCCTTTTATCCGTCCGCTTTTTATCTACACCCCTTTTCAAAGGTCGATAGGTCGCATAAAGTGATTACGTTTGCAATTTTTTGCAATTAATTTTTGCAAACGTAATCTACTTTTATTTCACATTGTATTAAACATTCACATAGCATTGTCCATTGAGATTTGAGGATAGGGACATACATTCCTGTACTCTGTAGAGCCAGTGGGCGTTCGTATCATATTTCATTCTGCACGCAAACTTTGCGGCTTGACTGTATTGTAGCCTGCGTAGCAGCCGCTCCAAAAATCCTTAAAACCTTCAATAAAATAAAGTATTAAATACTTGTACTGAAACTTGTAAAGCCTTTCATTGTGTCCATAATTTAAAAATTAAAATATACATGGTGATTAGTGGCCATAGTCAAAATACAAAAACCTTCCCACTTCCGCTGTAGCGATTACCGCTTTAGTCGCCAAATATCGCTGTAGAATTCCCCGTTCTTTCCTTTATATACGTCAATTTGTAGCAAAGGATACACCTTTCATTAGATCCTTGCATAAAAGTTGCGAAATTTTGATTTTAGTACGTCTAACGATTGTCGTCGGTAATTTTAAATTTGTCCAGACCAATCATGCGAGAGTCAGCAGAGATTTATGTATCAGTATAGTAAAAATGTATAGTAATGTATCAGTATAGTAAAAATATGTCATAAAATTAAATTTTATAATTAAAATGAAATTGACTTGCCTATTTGATAGTGTGTGTTCTCCTTTTATTCCTCTTTTGTTGGACTAATATTTTCCGCGAATTTGCCCTCACATATCGATCCGTCTGCACGTCACTTCGAATCGAAAATTCTCCCACTTACATCGCTTTGTTTTCCAAAAAAATTCGCCAGCATGTAGAACAGATGCCGTTCTTCGAAACTACGGAAATACTTCGGCAAGATGGACTATATTTTAACAATGGAAATCAAAACCCATTTTAATTATATTGAACTTTAATACAAAGACCGACAATTTATATTATCATTTATTAGTATTCTCAATTTTGATTGGTTAATTTTACTTGCAAATAACTGCGTGCAAATAATAGTCTGAGCATGCCCATTTGTTAGACTCCTCCGCAGGCATCTCACCTGAGGAATTGGGTGGTCGGAAAAAGTTTCTATAATACTTGGCACTACCGGTACTTGAGAAGACCCTAATCACTGGTAAAGAAGCATATTTAAATTTTAGATTGATTCGATGAAAGCTGATGGTTATGTAAATCCGGTCAATATTGCAGTCAAGCCCTATATACGATATATATGTACTAATACAATGATAATTTCATGTTCGAGATTGCTGTTGAGGAAAAGATTTTTCTTGTTCAACCAATCCAAGCACCCTCACGATTTTGGGAGCTGCATATTGGCCAAGTGATGTTACACGTCAAGTTCAAAGTCTTGTCAAAGACGGCAGTACCCTTGAATTCAAAGCCATGCAGCAATGACGTTTTTGGAGATACTTGGCGTGGGCATACAAAAAGCTTGCTTATTGTTTATCGGTATGGCCGCAATACACCCCAGATGAAAATCGCAGACAATTTATATTATCATTTATTAGTATTCTCAATTTTGATTGGTTAATTTTACTTGCAAATAACTGCGTGCAAATAATAGTCTGAGCATGCCCATTTGTTAGACTCCTCCGCAGGCATCTCACCTGAGGAATTGGGTGGTCGGAAAAAGTTTCTATAATACTTGGCACTACCGGTACTTGAGAAGACCCTAATCACTGGTAAAGAAGCATATTTAAATTTTAGATTGATTCGATGAAAGCTGATGGTTATGTAAATCCGGTCAATATTGCAGTCAAGCCCTATATACGATATATATGTACTAATACAATGATAATTTCATGTTCGAGATTGCTGTTGAGGAAAAGATTTTTCTTGTTCAACCAATCCAAGCACCCTCACGATTTTGGGAGCTGCATATTGGCCAAGTGATGTTACACGTCAAGTTCAAAGTCTTGTCAAAGACGGCAGTACCCTTGAATTCAAAGCCATGCAGCAATGACGTTTTTGGAGATACTTGGCGTGGGCATACAAAAAGCTTGCTTATTGTTTATCGGTATGGCCGCAATACACCCCAGATGAAAATCGCAGCAGAAAACTCGTGTATTTCTGTGTCCATTCGCGAGCCACAACCGTATGCTGATCTTATTGACCCACAGAACCTCCTGGAAGATAGTGATCGTTTTGCTCTTGTTTCTCTCAATGGAATGTTTATCTCCTGTGACTCTCAATTGAAGCTTGTTGCTGCCGGAACAACAGCTGAACAAGGCTGTAAGCTCATTGTTAGAAAAGATATTTCTACCAGTCCGTGTTTCAAAATGCAAAATGAAACCGGCAAATTCTTTACTGTTGGGGATGGCAACTATCTTTATGCCACAGGTAACAAATTATTTTTGTTTTATTATTTCCATAATAAATTTAATTGCTGTCAATCAAAATATATTTTCTCACAAAGCTTGGGTATTATCTTACAATATGTTATCGGACTGCAATGCCATGGAATAAAAGGATATGGTAAATTTTATTGATTGATGTTCTTGTCTATTTTTTTTGTGTGTTTTCCTAAATACATTTGCTATTAGGTGTCGCTTAGTGGCTCATTCAAGCTTTTTCTCCATCGTGTATGAATTTTCCTAAGACGTTTCACGGAAATTTTAATGTAAAATGTGATGGAAGGTTTTGGCCCCATGTGTATTGCCGAATGTAGCCATGCATGGCTGTGCACTTACAAAATCTTAAATCTTAAACATTGAGCGCGCAACAGCTGATGGATAACTCCCTATTTAAAGTCTTGAACGCGAAAAATTTGCATCGAAACAATGCTAAATAAGACAATATTTGTAAATATACTAATTGGTTCACTAAACTAATGTCCATTCTAAGGCTCAAAGTCATAGGCGTACGGGAGGGTGGAGCTGGGGGGGGGGCTGCAGCCCCCCCAAAAAAATTTTTTTGAGAACTTATCTATTCGGGCAAAAATTGTCTTGTCATTCGAGCAACGACGGTCTGGTGATTAGAAGAATATATTGATCCATAAAGCGAAACAGAAGTATTATTTCAACAAGTTCAACTTTTACAAGTTCAATCATGCACTGTAAATCTGTAATGGCAACGTTTGTGTATATTTATTACCACCATAGATCGCATAGCTGGATTCAAGCATGTTGCGTCAGGTTAACCTTTATTAAAGGTCAAGTGCTCTAACTTAATCGGATTTGGTTTTGATTCTTGCGCACATACCACAGACGTAAATCCCCACAGAAACGGCTAGATAACTAGAACGAAGGAACAATTGCCATGGCTACTAATAAAATGTGACTACTGTATTCATGCCTATATTCAGCAGTTTTACCTAGCATAATGTAGGCTATACAACTATTAAACTATATAAGTATATAGTATATAGCCACACATATTGCGAATTAGGTGTGGTATAAGTGTGCGTAGTAACAATCGGATCAGTGATGTTTATCTCCTTTGATAGCATTGGTTGCGTAAATACAGTCTCTGGCCTTGGGCGCCACCGCGGCTATGACACAGCAGTCATTGAAAAAGTGAAAATAGATACTAGACTAGTTTACCCACAGGGTAGTGAATGCTGCCTTGGTATAGCATTGTTCCCAAATCTTTAAGAAATATTTGTAATCACCATTCCCCAATTAACCAAAATTTTGATCTCAACAAGTGTAAACAAAATTTCATCATAGCATGAAAGAGCATCACCAAATTAGTAATATTCCAAAGTTTCGTTGCGAAATGTTGTAAAATGCGGATAATATAGCCTTGCGAAATTTGCAATTTTCAGTCACTTTAGATTACAAACGGGAAATGGTTACCACTTTTCCAAAATTTTTATCTTAACTAGCCTAAACAAAAATTTCATCACAACTTGAAAGAGCATCACAAAATTAGTAATATTCCAAAGTTTCGTTGGAAAATGTTGTAAAATGCGGATAATATAGCCTTGCGAAGTTTGTCATTTTCAGTCATTTTGCAATTTGTATTACGCACAGAAGTGGTAACCATCTCCCGTTTGTAATCTAAAATGACTGAAAATTGCAAAGTCTAGATTTGTTGAGTTCAAAATTTTGGTTAATCGGGGAATGGTCCGTTGGAATCATCCATAATTTATACACTTGAATGTGCCGTATGATAACTCGGCGCTCGAAGTTTCGTATCGAAAGAGGAACAGCCGAACAGGTACGATGGCTAACAAGAATGAGTGTACTTATCAACTTATCTAACGCGAGGAAAAGATCAAAATGGCAGGTATATGGCTGTGATATCTAGTACATAAAATTGTATAGACAATTTGCCTACAAATACGGTGCTAGGTCAAAACGGCCCCGCTTCAATAATCATATGATTTAGACCAGGGGTTAAAGGGCAATGACAATGACATGCAGGTGACATTTAACATGTGCGAGTGTGCGTCTCACTAAATTTGCGTGTTTAATAATGTTTATCAAAGAAGGCAAAAATATATACAAGACAACCTCACATGTGGAATCTGTTCACTTACGCACTGCGTTGTGATGCAGTACAAGTACAAGTACAAATACAAATGACAAAGCATTTTTAAAGGCTTTAAATCCTAAAACATAATTAAATCATACGGCACATTCAAGATTTTAATATCGTATTTCAGCCGTGTTTATACTGCTTGGCGCGCATTCGCTGCGTTATATTAATTTATATACCTATGTTATATACACATATTTATTACTAATAAATCAACACTATATGATAATATATAAGAACTCACAAAGTGCAGTCACTGAGTCACCTTTTTATAAATAAACCTTTTTAAAAGCATGTCATTGTCATTGCAGACCAGAGGCAAAAAGCACAGCCACATAGGCCTACCAGATTTATTAAGCAATCGTGAGATTATATACATGGAAAGAATATGGAAATTATGTTAAAAGCACCCCGTATAATGACGAAAGCACCGCGTATAATGCTCGAACCACTGCGTATAATGGCGAACGCACCGCGTATAATGGCGAAAGCACCACGTATAATGCTCGAACCACTGCGTATAATAGCGAAACCACCGCGTATAACGTTCGAACCACTGCGTATCGACAAAATGCCGTTTGATCACTTACGCCAGCTATGACTTTCCATAAAAGAAAACCAAAGATGAAAGATGATCACATTGCTTGTTTGCCTTATGCCTGTTTATTAGGCAAGAATAGCCTGCCGGCCCGGAAGCAGTACATTGTGGTAGGCCGAAATACGCCGAAACGATCGAGATTTCATCTGCCTTATATATATATATATATATATATATATATATATATATATATATATATATATATATATATATATATATATACATATATATATATATATATATATATATATATATAGATATATATACAGCTAATTCAATAAAGGTTGTCCTTTGCAAACCTTAAACTCTAAAACCTTAAACCTTAAACTCTAAGCGCGCAAAGCATAATGGGAGCACTATTTAAGCAGTTTAGAAAGCATATATGGAGCCCATTTCTTAGAGACATATGGTAAACATATGCCTGCGAAAACATTTCACTCACAAACAACTGCAATATTCAACTACTATGCTTGATATTAGTACTCCCATTATGCTTTGCGCGCTTAGAGTTTAAGGTTTAAGGTTTAGAGTTTGAGGTTTGCAAAGGACATCCTTTTTTGAATTAGCTGTACATATATATATATATATATATGTATATATATATATATATATATATATATATATATATATATATATATATATATATATATATATATATATATATATATATATATATTTCAAAAACTCATTAATAATTCATGAAGCAATTATCCAATCTTGAGTAAGAAATTAGTCACGTGCATACGTCTTTATACCAGCTAAAGAACATTTTAACAAAAGACCATTGTTATGCAAACTATATAAAGATTTTTATATAAAGATTTTTATATAAAGATTTTTATATAAAGATTTGACTTATTATGCAAACGTTTTTGAAGCCATTTAAAAGACGAGCAGGTCGTGTTTTATTAGGTCTAAAGCCACTCGCGCTGCGCGCTCGTGGCTTTAAACCTAATAAAACACTCCTGCTCGTTTTTTAAATAGTACTTCAAACACGACTACGAATTCAATAGATATACTGCCTTATTAGTATTCTTTATATAAAGAATACTAATGAGGACACGACTACAATAGATACTGCCTTATTAGTATTCTTTATATCAAGAATACTAATTAGGAGTGTTTTATCAGGTTTAAAGCCACTGCACGTGACATATTATGGTTGACATGATTTGCCAATAAGCTTATGAATTATTAATGAGTGTTTGAAATTTGACTTTATAAACTAATTCACTGATTTATGTAGGAAATTAACCAAACTGGTAGTTGAAATAGAAAAGGGGAGTGCTGTAAATTTATTATTTATAGTATTTACAGTACTGTACATGGACCATGCATGGTCTTAATATGGAAGAAATTACAATATATATGCAAATCATACATATGATATAGTTGTGTTATCTAGAATATCAAAGCTTCTTTTTTGTTAAATCCTTTTCTTGATAGGTCACATTTACTTGCAAAAATTACATGGAGAAATTCAGACCGTTCAAAATTATGTATATAAACCAGTAACCACGGGTATATATACATCAAACTAATCACTTTCCACTCTCTTGCAATTGACAATAACATTGCTGCCAATAAATTTATAAATTGCATGCATCCTGGCTTGCCTGGTCAACACTACAGTATACTCAAAGACAAAGACTACCACACACTGCATTCTTATCTAGAACAATTTAAACAAAAAATATAACAAGTGTGTTTTTACAAGTTTATAACAAGTGTGTCTTTACATGTTTCTTACTGTAATTTGCCAGATATTAACATGCTGGATACTCGTAAATTGTGCATATATTTGACTATATATACAGTAATATAATATCTTGTGCATTTATATACAATGTCCTTTATTCAAGCAATGCATAGTACAGAATGTATTTCAGCAAGAAATATGAACTTCAACAAATAGTCTTATATATAAAGTGGAGCATGTATTAATTGTACTATACCAAGATACTTGTAACAGAAGGACATGTACCTATTAAAACGATAAAACATTCTGTTTGTATATTGAACTCTGGCTATATTCTTTACAAAAAAGGCTCAATATTGACATGTACATATTAAATGTTTGGCTCGCGTTTCTATCCGTCTTTCTTAATTGTTTTTTGTATAATTAATACTAAAAAATAAAGTGTTTGAATGCATACTTCAAACCTGAAACTGCGAACATATTATGTCTTCAATTTTTGTCTTCTGAGTTCGTTAACAAAGACCCGTGCATGGCCATAATTATGAGGCATAAACATAACTTTATCGAATTCCGAGCTTTTTTGTAAACATTGTGTACAAAATAATCAAAGGATCATCAATTTTGTACCCAAGGTGCCAAATACAATGTTCAGCTTGTCCACTATCTGTCATCTTTTTAAGACCATTTTAAGTACACGAAGTCCTTTATAAGCTTTTACCGTTACTGATTTCAGATTTCCATCCTTTTTAAACATTTCTTGATTCACTTTAACTAATCTTTTGGAGATGTATTGCATCCATAGCATGTACAAAATGATTTTTGAACTCAAAATTTTCCGCAACCGGTGCTAAAGTTTTGCAAGACTTTCGATTTGGCATGTGTTTCACTCCTCAGCTATATTTTTCCCTGTTTTCGCCAGTATCAAGAGGATTCATAAACCAATTCCTAGCCTAAAACTTCCAGTCCATCCCTCTTTTGAAAAAATTTAAGTCAAATGGGACATCGTATTGAAGATTTTCTTTAAATCGCCATTTGTTTGTGAAAAATTCGATTTTCCCTATTAGTTTTCTGATTAAAATTTTTCATGACATTTGCCAGGAGGTTACGCATGCGCATTTTGCGCGAAAAAGCGTGTGACACATTTTGACGGGAGATTCATATCTGTATTTACCTCATCTGTGACACAGTGGTGAACAGAATCGCCTGACTATCGTCTAGAAAGGATGTGAAACTCTGAGTAGCGATATTTATAATTTTAAGATATAGCCTAGACAATTTAATACGCTCTAGTATTACTTTAGTATTGAGCACTTTATATATCTAAAACAACACAACAGTCTGTTTCATCCAAGAGGAATCACCAGGTGACTCTGATTCCTCTTGGATAAAACAACGGCAATAAAGCTACGTTTACACGTTGCGATTATTCGTGTACGATTCGTTTTCTGGCGTTTATGTCATTGAGTAAACACGCGTAAGCTAGCTACATTTGAAATTTCTTTTAAACGAAATGGCAATGAATTATGGCGCCAGCACTCATTTTAATACGCCAGAATAGGAATCGTACACGACAAATCGTAGCGTGTATAAACGTAGCTTAAGACGATTATATCTGCTCTATCTATATGATATCGAGCACTCTTTGGCATTTTGTGAACCAAACCACATTTTTTTCATTATTCTATACATTATAAGTACCCAAAGATACTATATACATAAAAAAATTGGATACTAATATATTGGATATTATATATATATACATATATATATATATATATATATATATATATATATATATATATATATATATATATATATATATATATATATATATATATATATATATATATATATATATTTCTAAAATTCATGAATAATTCATGAGCTAATTAGCCAATGAATTTCTTAAAATCTCGTCACATGATGACCCCTATATATACCGTGATATAGATCGGTGTGTGCTGATTTAAAATTCATATATAGACCACATGTACCTTTATGATAAAGGTACATGTACCTTTATAAAGCATTCTTTAACAAAATGTTTATTAATCTGTTCCTAATAAAAACTCAAATAATCGAGAAATCAATAAATACTTTATTTTCCAAAGTTAAAGGTAATGTTGCAATTTTTAAACACGGGATAACAACCATTTCGTTTTTTATTACACACCACTTTAAACTCTTTAAACCCAACAAACTTGCTTAACTAAAATGCTAAAGACGCTTCATTCATCTCCGCCAGCGATGTAGTTAATGTCTGGTTTGGGCCAATATCATCTGTTTCATGACCTCAGCATCGTCGATCTTCACTTCTTTAATTAAATTAACCTTTCTAGCAGCTCTCCAGGAATCAGAAATCGTCAAAGCCCACTTTGTCGCGTATCTTGTACTTGGCGGCATCGATCTTTCGAGCAACGTTTGCTCCTCTTCAGCAGTTCGAGCGCTTGGAAACAGACTCATTAACAAAACAAGTCAAATATGTTCAAATTTCCATTTGAAAACTCCGTTTAATTTTTAACGACTTGTATGACTTGATAATTAATCCAGTATTAATTTGCTTGCTGATCAATGAAGGGAAGAATCGTAAAACAATAGAACTATTGTAGTTTCTTATTATTTCATTGGGACCCAAAACAAAAGGTGAATTTTAGAAGTCATTTATAAACATCGTGATTGGGCTTTATCGGTGCCTATAGCCGCTCGCCTTCGGCTCGCGTCTATATGCACCGATAAAGCCCTCTCACTCGGTTTATATATATATATATATATATATATATATATATATATATATATATATATATATATATATATATATATATATATATATATATATATATATATATATATAAATCTATCACTGAGCCAACTTTCTCTAGAGCCCAACATTTATATAAATCAATCAATGATACACCAGAGCTCGTATAACAACTTTTTATTACGTTTCGGGGCAAGCCCCTTCTTCAGATTACATGTGTACACTTGATTTCAACAATTTAAACTGTCCATACCCTAATTATAATAATTCGCATGATTAACTCTATTGTTCAAACAAAGTCTTTTAAATTCAACCCATGCGGTTCAAACGAATTCAGTTTATAAATGAGTGATGCTCATTTTTTTGATCAAGGTCATAATGGTATGCAAGATGTGAAAGTTAAAATTATTGATAAAACTAATGTTGCATGTCCCACACAAAGAGAAGGTTTTTGGGCATATAAACTGAATTCGTTTGAACCGCATGGGTTGAATTTAAAAGACTTTGTTTGAACAATAGAGTTAATCATGCGAATTATTATAATTAGGGTATGGACAGTTTAAATTGTTGAAATCAAGTGTACACATGTAATCTGAAGAAGGGGCTTGCCCCAAAACGTAATAAAAAGTTGTTATACGAGCTCTGATGTATCATTGATTGATTTATATATATATATATATATATATATATATATATATATATATATATATATATATATATATATATATATATATATATATATATATATATATATTTATATATAGCATACTAGTCAGCTGGTAAATAATGAGTTAGATTTACCAGTCAACTAGCCAATCAGAACGCGCGAAAGCTCATTTATATATATACTATTATATATATATATATATATATATATATATATATATATATATATATATATATATATATATATATATATATATATATATATATACTACTGTAGTATTACTACATGCGAGAAGCTCACTAATACGACCTAACCTATTGCACAAAAGTACATATTTTTAGTCCGGAATTAATGTCTGCCCCATTCGTGCATGGTACTCTAAGATTTCGCGCTTAACCTGGACAACGCAAGTGAATCCATTTGTAAATAGAGATCACGGTCTTCGTCATCTTCCGGCAAGTCTCTATAGAAAAAGTGAAAATGAAAATAAATTTTGACATATTTAAAAGAACTCCTGGACATTGATTCAACACGGCAATCCAAGATGCGTTGGTGGAACAGTGGTGATCTAAGTGCAGTACTCTAAGTGTGACTAAACGCCAAATATAATCTTTTGTATGGGCAATATTCGGGTTATTCCAAAAAATGTAAAAATATATCTTTATAGCAAAAAATCACATCTTGAGCAACTTTTTCAGCATAAATTTTCCGGAAATAATGTCATAAATAAATTGCAAATTAATTTTCTAATATATAATATGAAATAACATCCTGAAACTTAAACAGTAAAAAAATTGACCAAGACGAGTTTTTTACTATAAAGATATATTACATTTCTTCATCACATTTGGGATTAGTGGCACTTTAGAAATTAGAAGCCTGATCCACACTAAGCTCTAAGATCAATGGTGCTTAACAAGTTCATATAGATTATTCACGGATGATCTTACTTTAGTTTAAAATTCTCCTTGCTATCGCTTGAACTTGTAGTCTGGTCAATCCTGCGAAATTTCAACCAGTCTTTGCGCGCCACATCGTCCATTCCCATGTCAAATAACAGTTTTGTGTGGTTAAAACGGTATTTCAAACAATCTGGAAGATCATAAACACACTTGGAAAAAGGTTTCAAACTTTTGCATTTACAGTGTATGTTGAAATATATGATAAAGATTGAAACTAAGGTTGGGGATTGACGAAGGACTATTGCTTAAGTGCCGCAATTTCTTTCATTCTTCTTCAAACGGTTTCAAAATATAGACGCCAGTGTATTGCATACGATTGTGTTAGTGGCACATACAGTTGTTAGTGAATGTGCACGCCTAATGTCTGTGACCAGATTTGCATGGGTTTCTGTAATACACATACAACTGTCTGATTGCAATTGGTTTCTGTAATATACATACAGCGGTCCTTATGCATAATAACATCAGACATGGTGCGGGCGGGGAATTCTCGTCTTGTAGTCACGGCGGGAAAAGAATCCAACATGGCCACTGTCGTAGGCAGAATATAACTCCTTAATATACCAGAAAATACATGCATGCAGAAACCCTCGCCTTCTGACAAAACCATTGTATTCTCCGAACATGAAGTATTTAAAGTAGTTGTCATGGTAACACGATAATTTTTTAAGAATATTTTTACAAATGAAAAATCCCCTAAAAATATCACTTTAATTACAAATTTCCCAAACATATTTCTGTTAGGTATGTTATTATACGTAATATAAGCTTCAATTTAAGGTAAAATTCAACCACAAACGCTTCACAAAACGCTTTAAAGTGTTTTTCTAAAACTAAACTGCCTTTTGGCTTTATCGGATAAACTTTGAGTTTGAAATAAAATGATTTCAAATTCTCGCATGCAAATAACTTTGCTTTCTTTTTTGTTTAAAATATTTAATATACTAAAAAAGGGTAGTCAATAAAGTATACGTATACACTGAAATTATATGCCGTCTTGTCTCCTTTATACGCAACGTTTATACGATCGGCTTTTAAGGTAATTATAAAGCAAACAATACATTAATATTTAAAACAAACTTACCTTCGTTAATGTCGGCGCCTTTGCTCCCTTATTTTAGCCCATTCTTTCGCCCTTTTTTCTTAAAAAGCTTTTGAAATTCACAAAATCTTGCAAAAATGAAATATATTTGCTCGAAATCATCAAATCAAGAAATGTTTGCTATTTCGATGTCGTCATGCAGTCGTTATAATGCAAATTTTAAATTTGACCAATCAGTGTTCGCTATTCATGATTTGATTATCCGCCATATTTTTGAGATCAGTGAGGATGACCACCCATCGTTGGTCACCCACGCCCGCGATCATTGATGAACCTTAGACTTCGCTAATGCCTGCTAATGCTTTCGTTTCCCCGGGTGTAAATAGCCGGGGGGGATTAGTACCCTCGCCCCGGGCTCTGCGCCGTTGGCTCGGGGATAACAGAGTGTATGTGGGAGATTTCTCTTATTGTTGGTAAAACAACCAGGAAAACAACACATAAAACCACCACTTCTTTTGCTCTTACTGGTCGATGAAAGCAGACTGTTACCGTTACTTTCAGGACTGCCAAACCTCTGAAGACCCATGCAAGAGTTTGAAAAGATCTAGGGTCTTCATTGGCTTGAACAGCCTTAAAAGAACGACAAAAAACAGCAGTACACTCGCCTACAAGAGTGGCCATGTTGGATTGTTTTCCCGCCGTGACTACTAAGACCAGAATTCCCCGCGCGAATCACGCCTTGTGACGTCATTATGCACACGGTTTATTAGGAAAAAAGAGTACCTCTGGTCTACACCTTTTGGTCACCTCGGATATTCCAATTTATTTCTGTAGACACAATGGACAAATTTAGGGCGACCGCTATTGGATCTCCTAAAGGTACGTTTACACACAACGATAATAATCGGGCCGATTCAACTTTAATTAAATGATATTTGAAAAATACACTGTCAACGTCATCTGACGACATTGTCAACTGACAACATTCGTCATTAACATTCGGCAAAACCTAAAATCAGCTCGATTAATCGTTGTGTGTAAACGTAGCTTAATTAAGAGAACTTCATGCAGTTATGAATTATAGAACATCCAGTATAAAATAAAGTCAAATTAAAGTTCATTCATTAAAAATACAGCTCACCTGGTTCACAACTGATGCTTTGTGTTAGCAACAGTAGCGCCTCTTTTTTTCTTCCCAAAGACGAAAGTAACAAACTTTGTTTGTTTAATGTTAATGCCTGAAAATATGTAAAATAATACCCATGTAAGATGAACGAAAAATTAAAGAAAAATTTGCTGTAATTCATGGTGAGCGTAATACAAAGTACTACATGTCTCGACCTCTTTGCTAAATATACATACAAAGACGGATTAGTTTTCAAAATAGACGGTGTAAAAGGAAACGACTCGTTGTACTCTACCTTAAACTTTTGCATTTCTATATAATTTTCAAGATGTTGTTCTGTTGGACCTGTATAATAGTGTAGATTAAACTACAGGATCAATAGGATCTATATATACTACTAACATCGTTGAAACAGATCAATCACATTTCAGGGTTTTGCACAGACATAAATAGTATTAATAAAATTATGAATTGTTCCTAAAAACTCTTACCCTTTTCTCGTTTTTGTTTTTTCTGTTGTGGTTCATCCAAATTAGTTTGCTCTCCAGAGCTCTCACTATAGTTGTTATTTATCGCATCAAGAATACTAAGAAAGAAAAAAATGACACACATTCGGTGAAAGGACAATGTGGTAAGTAGAGAAAAGAAACGTATACCTCTCATAGCATTCATTAGCTTCAATTGGTCTTTGTAGTTCTTTTAACACCACTGCTTTGCATAACATAATATCGATTAAAGTCTTTCCAGTATCTAACTTTGCTTTATCTTGTGAGAACAAGGTCTTAGATAATGTGTTTGATACTAAATAAAACAAGCATTATCTTATGAATGCCACTATCTGAGCAACGGTCTGTCCAAAAAAAACCAGAAGTACCCTGAAAAAATGTTTGGTATAATCAAACGGGAAACACCCTTCTCACATGTGACTGCTAGGCGAATATATAACCACACAATTTCGTACCGCAGGGAATCATACCGTTGTCGCATGCAGAAGTGAAAGACAGGTGCATATATCCACTATGCCTCCCCCATGCACATAGCAGCATAAGTATTTTAAAATGTCGTTACCAGTTTCTTGCTTCAGAATTTTTTCACAGACAACAAGACAATCGTCCCATCTGTCACAATTGAACAAAGCTTCAGCAAATTCCTTATGCAATGTAGGTATACTTGTAATTCTACACTAAAAGAAATACAGGATGTTAGTGAGAAAGACTAAATAACGAGACACTTATAAAGTGCACAAGCTATTACCTCTTGCAAATCAACAGGTTTGTTATTCAACTGTGCAAGGAGTTGCCCAAAGAACTCACATGCTTCAGAATATCTATATAGTACAGAATGACCAGTTATTTGCAAATCAAACTTTGGTGGTCGATAATATAATTCAAAATAATTCAAGGTATGGAGACTCGATGATAGCACACTGAAACTTTATTTATTTATCTTTGTTAGTCTAGCTTTATGAAAAAATAGTCTTTATATAGTTAGTCAATTCTGACCAATCCGAATCCTTATTATTGGTTAGTTGGCCGAAAGTACAACACAAAAGTGACGATGATCAACGGTTCAGATTTTTGCATATACTGTAACTTAGAAAATGACTTATATATTGCCTGAAAAAAGTTGGATCTCGGGATCCTGGGGAACATGTGCCTTAGCAAGAAGTTAAAGGAACATACCTTATGGGAGATTTCAAGGAATCATTATAATATCAATATGTACCATAAATACAGTCAAGTATTCAGGTCTTGCAGTATGTATCATCAAAAATAATCCGCCATTTTGGGTGGCAAAAATCTTTTATTCAACCGACTACTACACAGCTGTGAACCATTATAACACTTCAAAGTGCTCAAACAAAAGCAACAGCCGCAGTTAGTGCCAGTCTTGCTTTGGCGCCATGTTTGCTTTTAATCAACTATTTTTAATTTTCCCCCAAAAAAGGCCGACGTCAACAAATACGTGTCTTGACGTCACTTGCAAGAGCCCAATACTCTGTTGAGTATTGTTACATACATAATGGTCGGAGTAATATATGGTCAAATTTTCCATTGTTTTTGCGCATTTTTGAGGAAGACTTCAAAAAGGAAATTATATAATAACGTTAAGAATTCAAGCGCTTTCATTGGGAGAGAGCCATGATCTATTAAAGGACAGACGCACGGAATTACGTCACAAGTGACGTAACAGTTCCCTTATTGTATAGATCATGTACGCGTGATATTTTTAAAATGTCGACTTTTTCAAATTTCCAAATGTTTGGGTGGATAAAAATTTTATTTACCTGTCTAATTTGGGGTTTTTCTTTTTATTATTTAAAACAAATAGATAAGATTTTGCCGTTGTCTGTTCAGTTTTAGATACACAGTATGATATCATAATCTCGCCTCGGCGGCTCATGGCACTTTTTTATTCTTCCCATATTATGACGTCATACTGTGTATCTATAACTGAACAGACAACGGCAAAATCTTATCTATTTGTTAAATACAGGATCCAAGGAACAGTAAACACTTCAGGGCTGATTGTACTTCGTCGATATTTCAACCTTGTGTTCTAATAACTACCTTCACCTTACTCTTTACCTTTTCAATATCAGACAATTGTGAGCAATCTTGAACAAAACGGATGGTATGCTTAGCTTTGAATTCTTGAAATTACATCGTCGTGCGCAATGGATATCAGTTGATAAAAGGAAATTATCTTCAGAAATGGAATCACTAAGGCATTGCGCTGTTATTCCACAAATATAATCTATATTTATCTTGACACCAGTATCAGGACCATGATGCCAGCTTCGAAGCGACAGAATCTAATATGAATAAACCGTAAGTGGAACATTAGGGATAATAATAAAAAATCGAACGCTGTGCGCAACGCCGAAATTATACTCCATAGAATGAATATATCCGATATTTGGGTGCTTCTGAAGTTGGTGCATGTATATATTGATGACACATAGTTTTGCTGGAGTATTTCCAAGTGCATTCACCAACCGTTGTGGCCAGCTGTATAACTAGAAACCGCTATATATAAATTGTCAAAACAAGGCTATCTATCGTCCTGGCAATCTGGATGAAGTTTCCTCATATAAACAAAGTCAAAAATCCGGCCCTCGCGAAAAGTCGCGAAATATCCCCTCTTTTCGCGCTGCGTATCTCATTTTCCGGCCCCTTAGCTTAAGCCTGCCGTACACGAGAGACTTGCTGAGCTAACGGCCTCGCGTGGCAGCTGGCTCAGTAAGTTTCTCTCGTGTGTGGATAGTTTTCGTGAGGATTTGACCTCTCGAGGCCTTGACGAAACTATCTATCGTGTTTGATATTTTTCACCTCGCGAGGAAAAAATCTCAACGTCTGCGGATGTTGCGAGGCTTTATTACAAGCTTAGTGCTGAGTTGCTTGAATCAATTAGCCAATAAGAAACCATAGTTTCTTCACGTGACTTTGAACAAAATGGAGGAAAATGCAAACGATTTTGTCAATTATGTTGTTGTTGAGTGGTTTTCCCAACATGTGCGGTGAAAATGCATCTCTCGTGTGCGGCAGGCGTTAGGATTTCGATAAAATTGTCTTGTTTTAATTTATTTGTAAGCGATTTTTTTAAATTTGCAGAGATTTTGGGATTTTACAGGAATTTAAGTTTCGGATGTTACAGACTATATATAGTGAATAATACCTGCGTTTGCCGGTGTACGATATATTTATTATTCGAGAAATATAAAATATGTTACGGTCAGAGAACTCGGCGAGATATATTACTCGAGAAATCGTTGTACACATATTAATAATGATCAGAAAATCTTGCCAAAAATATCCTATAATTTAAATCCCTATGAATCCCAAATTAAAATAATCCTCGAGCAAAACTTCTTGGACTGTATTTAGCATGGTTCCAGAGTGTTCCGTGTGGGTTCCAGGATGTTCCGGAGTGGGTTCCAGGTTTTACAAACACCCGACTGAATATAACATATTGTCAGTTGAACAATTTTGAATGTCCGATATATGAATCGAGCAACATGGACAGAGCAATCAACTATGTCAATATGAAATTTTTAACCACAGAGTGAAATTAATGAGAAACTTTGTTTTAATTAATAAATTCTTGACTTGCAATGATGTGGGCGACGGCCATGTTGGTCCCTTTTCCACAAAAGAAACTCATTATCTTCTTTTGAATTTGGCACCAACATGGCTGCCATGCCTTGTCTTCAAATTCTCAAGGGATTGATTGCAAGTCAAGAATTGATCTTATTTCTTGACAATCGCGAACTACGCGCACATTTCTTCGCTTTCTGCATTCTTTCAAAATACGCTGGAACGCTGGTAGTAGCATTTCCGTACTGTTTGTAGCATTTCCGTACTGTTTGTAGCCTTTCCGCAAAGCTCAAAAGACCAGCTCAAATATCACTCCAAATATTAAAACCACAAGTCTCCTGCAGAGTCTTTGACTATGAATATTTCACAATGAATTACTACATTATTTCAATACACAGTATTCGTGGTTTGCAATTGATGTCATGGCGGCCATGTTGGAGGAAAGCTAACAAAAGAATCTCATTAACAGCCATTGTACTGCATTTGGAGCGTGTTTTCCTCCAATATGGCCGCGCGCCATGTCTTTGTCATGTAAATCTCAAGAGATTGATTGCAAACCATCAATTTGATTAATACGACCTTCAATTTGCAACGCCTGGAAATTCCAAAGTTACTTTCAGTATACTGAGTGCCTAACAAAAAAGTGACCCTTTTGTGACTCGAAATCACCTTTTTGTTGTAAACACCCAAACTTCATTACCTCTGGGAGTTTAAAATGCATTGTAATCAAGCATATTAAAACTGCATAAATTGACATGAAAATTCTAATTGAAAGTTAAAACGACTTAGACATTGTCCCGTCGGTTGACTCAGTTTGATTAAAAATGGTTCAACTCACTACAGAGCAAAGAGTTTTTACTGTTTTACGGACTGGTCATAAAGTAACTGCTAGGGTGGGCTGGAGGTGAATCACAAATTTTGCCAATAAGTTTGGTGACCCATCTTAGGATGTAGATAAAAATTTCAAAGCCCATCTAATCTTGCCAAATTTATTTCATGACCCACCCACCCCAATCTAAATTGGGAAAATACAATTTTATAACAAAAAAACTTGCAGGTATGAACATTGTAAATATACACCGGCACTGTATTGACATACATAATTCCACCAAGCTTGGCAAACACATTCATCACCAATTATACGATACTGCGCTGCTCTCCAGTTGGTTGTATTTGCTGTGATTCGACCACTTCTTGATGTTGTATAAAACAAAGTACTGGCTTCAATAGCATCCAGTGGCGTAACTACTATGGTCTCAGACCGGGAGAACCCGGGGGCCCCCAACACCAATGGGCCAAATGGGGGCCCCCAGGCTTAGGCGATAGAGCAAAAACGTTGGCCAGGGCCTCTGATATGCTACAATGTCGTTTTCTGACCATCAGAATTTTGTAAAATCTCTCCCCAAAGTCCAGGAAATGGCATTTCAGAGAGTTTAGATTCAAAAATTTTCCGGATGAGCATGCCCTGGACCCCGTAGAAAACTCGTGCATATACGGCGCTCGACTCGTGCCTTTGGCACTTCTACTAGGGGGCCTTCGAAAATTTTGAACCGGGGGCCCCCAGATATAACGTTACGCCACTGATAGCATCATTTGCATTTGATAATTTGGATAGTTTTGTTTACTTTTATTATTAATATCTTTATGTAATATATTTAACATGGGTTTTTGTTTGGTGGCCCAACCGTGGACATACCAAAAAATTGGCGGCCCATCGAAACTGCCCAAAGATTTTCCATGGCCCATCCCAAATCACTCCAGCCCACCCTAGCAGTTACTTTATGACCGGTCCCTTACGCTCTGTTAAATTAATCAGCACCAAAAAGGCAAAAACTTTTAAATACCTTCCCATGCATCAAATTCGATGCAATTGTGTTTACGCACTCGTGGGATCAGTATAGGACTCAGGCATTCAAATTATAACAATAATCATATACATATAAACATGCCCGAACGAATACATGAATCATTTGCAAACAGGCGTGATTGAAGCAGGTTTTATCAGAACTGCAAAACGCTAAGAAGCTGTAGGCATAGTAGACATACTGATATTAAAGCTAATTAAATCATACTGTATATTTGTATGAACATGGATCAGGATGACTCCAACTGGGAAGCTGTGTTTATGAAAGACGTTGAAGACCATATCGAAGAACATGGCGTTTCAGGGGTTGAGGAGTTTTTTAAAACGAAACTGGGACGCTGGAAAGACGTGGAAATAAATATCGGTATCACAGGCAATTCTGGTGTTGGAAAGTCAAGCTTTATAAACGCTATAAGAGAGTAAGAGATTTGAAAACTTGTAACCGACATAGGATATTTTAATAATGCAATTTCAAGCATGTGTTTACGATATATTTGCATGTTGTTTACTGGGATACTGCATGGGTGTATATTCGTTTGTTGTATAGTCGCAATATCTAGGTTTATTCTCACTGGAGGTTTCCCTCACAATACCATATAATCTGAAAAGTTATACATGAGATGATTATTGATTAGTTGCTCACAGTATAAAAGTAGCACAAAATCGGTATTTTTCGAGCATTTGCCACCGAAAAGGAAGGACGGCGCTAGAATGTTTTGGTCGTCCAAGTCACAAGCGTCGCAGCCATTCCGGCCTTGGGAATTTAACGAAACGCCTTGCTTACACAGAAGCAAGATAAAGTTAAAATCATAACTGTGGTATTACTTGTAGAGCTTCACTGGCACTTGGTTGTATTTTGCTTGTACGTTTGAATTCCAGCGGATCCGTATTAATATGCCATTTTAGCGAGTTGAAATCACTGAGCTGTATAATAACTGGAGGACCTGCTCCAATACTTCGTTCAGTCAACGAAGTGAAGCCAAAAAGATGGCGGATTTTGACGTTTGCTCACGCCATTTCCATGACAACTGGTCCGTAATTCTCACACAATTGCCGCTGACCCACCGCGATCCTGAGCTTCGGACGACGTGGTTCCATCCCCTGGTTTTGGCAGTGTTTTTAGTTAAAAACATAATATTTTCTCGTATTTTGCTGGGGTTTTTTTTTTACAACTTGGACTTGGAGGGAATTAATCAACCGCTTTGCTGATGCAACAATTTACTTTACATAAAGGACGAGTAATTCTTTTCACAGGTAAGATTCATGGACGGATCGATAGTACGAAATTATAAAAATATTTTGTCAAAATTCAACACTCGTAACTCGTTCACTCATGTCTATATGAACTGCAGATATTTCAATATTGGACACAAAAGTCATAAAAAAACCTTGTAAAATTTGTGGTCATAAGATTTACTGTTTTGTTTTAGCCCTAGCGATGTGACTTACACAGATTATGGTGTGAAAATCATTTCTTACACTAATTTAGACCAGGATTAGCAACAAGGCCAGAGAGGGGAGCAAAGGGGCAAAATAGCCAGGGCCACTACACTGGATTCAGTACCGATTCACTAAATAAGTGAGAAGTGAGTTGTTATATGACATCAATATATAGTAGTGTACTCTTAACGACTATCAATGGCCCATATACAATAA